AAAAAGAGTGGGACGCTTCACTGACTGAGCCACCCAGGCACCCCTAGAATTACTGTCTTAATTCCATAGTTCTTCTCCTGCTGTCTCCACCCCAATGTTGGTACTTCCCTCACATCTAAATTTGTGGCTAAGCTTTTCATAAACGGGGAACAAATCTGGTGCATTTTTGAGGCTGACCTAGGTAGACTCATGTATAAGTAGTGTTTGTGAAGATTCTTCTGCAAGACACCAGAGATTCTGTTCCATTTGAGTGAAAACTGCACAGAGCTCCTGATTTGGTGCCTGGGCCTCTTGAAAGCAAACTTCTACTCTGAGATGAGGCAAAAGAAGCCCTGATTTCTAAGATTCCTGACTGAAAAGACCTTAACACTGGATTCTTTTTTGGATACTCATACAGTGGAGATCAAAGTGGGCCCACCACACAGGCAAACAAGGAATGGAGCGACACAATGCATTGAGTAAAACTATCAATATTTTGCCCACAAAATCAGTTAATTCTATTCAATAGCTTTCCTAAAATACATACATATGTGTGTGTGTGTGTGTGTGTGTGTATATATATATATATATATGTATTATCAGATGCTAAAACTCACAAACATTTTAATGTTTGAATTTTCATAGTTCTTCCCTGTAAAGGAAAGTTACGGTACGGATAGAAGTTAGGAGACCCAGGCTATGACTCAGCCCTGGGCTCTAGGTTAAGCATATTGTCAGGCCCGACTGTCTTCTGCCTTCAGAACTGAAAAGTGGAATGACAACACAGAGAGAATGATGGTGTTTGTAAAGAGAGTGACAATAAGGCAAGCGTGTGGACAGGGGCAGAAAGGAGCAGAAGGGTGAACTATGAGCTTCCAGGGACCAGTCCCAGGCCCCGCCTTACAGTCTATGTACACAGGGAGCCTTGGGTACTGGCATTCTGCTCTGAGTTCTGTAATCAAGTCCTACTTTCTGCTTAAGATTGCTCCAGTGGTTTTGTTATACACAGTCAGAATCCTGGTTAATGTAGTGGGTCATTTCCAGGGTCCCTTCATCTTGGTGATTCTGTGGCTGTGAGATGGAGAGTCCTTGTTTCCTGCTCTAGACATGGTGGGGGAGGGATGCTATCAAGGTTTTTATACTCTGAAATAAAGTCAGCAAGGGGTTATTATTTTTTTGATTGGAGAGGCACTGAATTCTAAATTATCCTCCTCAAATCCCAATGAATTTCTTCCTCCGCAAATTAGGCGGTAATTTTGATCAAGGTAAGTTAAGATCCAGATCTTTTTTTTTTTTTTTGATGTTTATTTTTGAGAAACAGAGTGCAACCAGGGGATGGGCAGTGAGAGACAAAGACACAGAATCTGAAGCAGGCTCCAGGCTCTGAGCTGTCAGCACAGAGCCCGATGTGGGGCTCAAACTCATGAACCACAAGATCATGACCTGAGCTGAAGTCAGATGCCTAACTGAATGAGCCATCCAGGTGCCCCAGATCCAGATAATTCTAATGAAGGATCTTTTGTCCTGATCACAGGATTTGTTCATTAATCTATGTCAGGTTGAAGCAACTGGACAATTCTGTGTGGCCACAGACATTGTTTTACCTGTGAGCTCAGAATCAGTTTCTAAGAAAATTATGCCATTAACACCTTTCTTGTATTGTCCCAGAGATCTGCATAATGACCAGGCTTTCCCCAGGTCATTTCTCCAGATGTTTTTGCAGCATCTGATATCAAAAGATCATCATAAAACAAAAACAAACAGAAAAGAGTACAGTGCATGAGGATTTATTTTTTTTTATTTTTATTAAAATTTTTTTTAAAGTTTATTTATTTTTGAGAGACAGAACATGAGTAGGGGAGGAGCAGAGACAGAGGGAACCACAGAAGCTGAAGCAGGCCCCAGGCTCTGAGCTGACAGCATAGAGCCCCACGTGGGGCTCGAACTTAGGAACCATGAGGTCATGACCTGAGCCAAAGTCGGATGCTTAACTGACTGAGCACCTTGAGGAGAGATTTAATGTAAATAAATCATTTATCTTCAATTTTAGGGACATGCTTAGGAAAAATGTAGAGCACTTTATCAGTTTTAATTATTAAATATTTTTGTTTTAAAATCTGAATTTGCATTTTTGTTTTAAATGTCAGTTTAGAGCTTACTTTTCCACCCAAATGCTAAAACACAAGATTAATCATCTTCCAGGGCACCTGGGTGGCTCAGTTGGTTAAGTGTCCAACTCTTGATTTTTGGCTCAGGTCTCTTGATCTCACAAGTTAGGTTCCACACTGAGAGTACAGAGCCTGCTTGGGATTCTCTCGCTCCTTCTCTGCCTCTCCTCCCACACTCTCTCTCAAAATAAATAAAAATAAAACTTAAAAAAGATTAATCATCTTCCTTAAGTAGAAAGTAACATTATTATTTATTTTATACCCACTTTAAGAAGATTTTGAAGAGCGCCTGGGTGGCTCAGTCGGTTGAGCATCCGACTTTGGCTCAGGTCATGATCTCACAGTTCGTGGGTTCAAGCCCCGAATCAGGCTCTGTGCTGACCGCTTGCTCAGAGCCTGGAGCCTGCTTCAGATTCTGTGTCTCCTTCTCTCTCTGCCCCTCCCCAGCTCAAGCTTTGTCTCACTCTGTTTCTCAGAAATATATAAATGTAAAAAAAAAAAATAAAAAAAAAAGATTTTGAGATGTGGGGAAAAAGGAATCCTTGTGCACTGTTGGTGAGAAGGTAAACTGGTGCAGCCACTGTGGAAAACAGTATGGAGTTTCCTCAAACAAAAACAGAAACACCATATGATCCAGCAATTCCTTTAATGGCTATTTATAAAAAAAAAAAAAAAAAAAAAAAAAAAAAAAAAAGAAAAGAAAACACTATTTCTAAAAGATATGTTTATTGCAGTATATGTTTATTGCAGTATTATTTACAATAGCTAAGATATGGAAGTAACTTAGGTGGCCACTGATAGATGAATGGATAAAGATGTGCTATATACACAAAATGGAATATTACTCAACTATAAAAAAAGAATGAGGGGGTACCTGGGTGGCTCAGTCAGTTGAGCATCCAACTTCAGCTCAGGTCATGATCTCATGGTTTATTTGAGCCCTCTGTCGGGCTCTTTGCTGTCAGCTTGTCAGTGCAGAGCCCGCTTCAGTTCCTCCAACCCCCTCTCTGCCTACACCTGCTTGCATGCTCCCTCAAATCAATAAGTATTAAAAAAAAAAGAATGAAATCTTGCCATTTGCAGCAACATGGATAGATCTAGAAGATATTATGCTAAGTGAATAAGTCAGAGAAAGACAAATACCATGTCATTTCACTCATATGTGAAATCTAAAAAAGATGAATAAACAAATAAAAAGCAGAGACAGACCCTTAAATATGGAGGAAAAACGGATGGTTGCCAGAGGAGAAGAGGATGTGGGACTGGGCAAAATGGGTGAAGGGGAATGAATGGGAGATACAGGCTTCCAGCTATGGAATGAATAAGTCACAGGAATAAAAGGCACAATATAAGGAATATAATCAACGATACTGTAATAGCTTATGGTGAGCATAGCATAACATAGAGTTGTTGAATCACAATGTTGTACACCTGAAACTAATGTAACGTTGTGTGTTAATTATACTTCAGTTAAAAAAAAAGATTTTGAGGTGTTCCACAGTTAAAAAGAAAAATAAAACAGAATATGGAAATAAAATGAAGAAAATCTAAAAGAACTCCCATAAAATGATTTGAAAGAGAAGAGATATAGGGTAACAGGAACTCAAGATAAATGGGCTATTGGGGCGCCTGGGTGGCGCAGTCGGTTAAGCGTCCGACTTCAGCCAGGTCACGATCTCGCGGTCCGTGAGTTCGAGCCCCGCGTCGGGCTCTGGGCTGATGGCTCAGAGCCTGGAGCCTGTTTCCGATTCTGTGTCTCCCTCTCTCTCTGCCCCTCCCCCGTTCATGCTCTGTCTCTCTCTGTCCCAAAAATAAATAAACGTTGAAAAAAAAATTAAAAAAAAAGATAAATTGGCTATTAAAATTGAGCATCGGGACACCTGGGTGGCTCAGTAGGTTGAGCATCAGACTTCGACTCAGGTCATGATCTCGCAGCTTGTGAGTTAGAGCCCTGTGTATGGCTCTGTGCTGACAGCTCAGAGCCTGGAACCAGCTTCAGATTCTGTCTCCCTCTCTCTCTGTCCCTCTCCTGCTCATGCTCTGTCTTTCTTTCAAAAATAAATAAACATTAAAAAAAACCTTAAAAAAAACTGAGCATCAGATTTACTGGGGAGAAAACATTCCAGGTTAAAGAATATAAATGATTGCCTTTTCCTGTCCCTAAATCTTAATCTATAGGATACTCATAGCAGTGTAATAACAGAGAATCTCCAAACTCTAAATATGTATTTTTTTCATTACTATGTTATTTGACCATTGGAAAACCCTAACCCAAACAGTGTATGTCCAGGACTCCCGGCAATCAGGACATGAGCCTCAAAGAAACCGAATTCATTCTGCCTCCTGTTTGTTTCCTCATTCGATTTTTCAGAAAATTCTGAAGGTCATGGAGGTGGAGATGGAAAACATACCAAAAATTAACAAGATGTTAGAATCCAAAGCTATAAAGCTCACGTATATATAATGTGGTATTGATAGCACACTAGATTTATACACTGATATTTCTAGAAATACCATCCTCAAGGAAGACTTTTAAATTTTATTAATTTGATGCTTCTGAACACAATAAAATAAACATAAAACATTCCAGTTAATTTGTAAGGGAAGACGAATTCAGGGAGGTGGAAACACATAGGAAAGGTATGTACATTTAGGCAGATACTCTTGCTTCCGTTATAGGTTAATGATTATGAACGTATTTGCGCTGCAGTGAGACGTTTTACACCATTTCTAGTCTGAATACGTCAATATTTTATCTAAAATGAATACGGTGTCATGAAGATAAAGTAGCAAAAATGTACTTGAGGTTAGAAATGATTATAACCATCACACAAACATATTTATCTGTTTCCCTTAGGACATGTTGCCTCTTTTCTTTTGCAAAGCTTTCATGAGATCGGACATGAAATCTTGCTCTCCGCTCCCTACTCCACCAGGTGGTCCTGGATTCTCTTTCCTCTTCGGGGGAGCGGGAGGTCTTTTGCTGGCAACGGGAGGCGGCTTCGGA